TGCTGCAGCTGCTCCTGCTGGGCCTCGGCGTGCTGGTGGGGTTCAGGCTGCGACTCTGCATGAGATTGAGGGGGGGCATCCGGCTGGGGCTCCGACAAGGATTCCTGCTGGGCCTTGGGATGCTGGTGGGGTTCAGGCTGCGGCTCTGCATGAGATTGAGGGGGGGCATCTGGCTGGGGCTCCGCCATGGGGTCCTGCTGCGGTAGCTCCCCGGGATGCTGGTGGGGCTTAGGCTGAGGTTTTGCATGTGGTGGCATGCAAGGCTCTTGGTTGCCTGGGCCCTGGCGTGCAGGAGCCCCCCTCCCCCCCTGCAACGTTCAATGAACAAGGGTCAGTTCATGGTATAGTAGTACCACTTTCCATCTTCATGCATGTAGGCAGGATGAGAGGTTGAGCTCCACAACTTCGTCATGGCAATGAGCTTACCGGTTGAACCCTTTCCTCCTCTTCCTCTTCAGCCTCCTCTTGCACGATCCTTTGGAGTTTGAAGCGCCTTTCCTTTGCGACTCTCGCTGCCTCCTCTAGTAAGCGAGCCTCTTCCTCATACTGCTCTAGGATCTGCCTTGTTTCTTTTGCCCTTTCTCTCAAATAGACCAGTCTTGGTTTTTTGGACATAGACTTGTTGGCATCCCCTTCTTCAGCTGACCGCTTCTGTCCTGCCCCCGCATCCTCTTGTTCTGCCTGAGCCGAGTGCCTCTGTCCAATGTCTTCTTTGTTCTTATCCAAACAAAGCCGCAAGAAAGATGCGATACACCCTGCCTTCATCTTCTGATTACCATCAGGTCCTACCCCAGCTCTCATCTCGCAGAAACGCAAAAAGGCATGGGTGCTCAGCCATACTTCTCGGCCTTCAATCACGTAGTCACGTCCTATTTCTAATTCTGTACTCTTTTCCACATCTCTTTTCATATTACTCTTGGTGCGATCGGTCAACTTTTCGATGTCATCCCTGATTTTCACAGGATATGCTGCTGTCGACTTTGCAAACGCTTCCAAGAGGCGCTTTTCATTAACGGACAACTCCATCGTGATCGTCGTCCTCCTCACCGCCCCAGTCGAAGTCCTCTCAGTCCGCCTGAGACGATCGCTCTGTGGTTGCTTGCTGTGGGGCTACACTCGTTCGTAGGTACCCCTTTGGCGTCCCTTCTTTGCATTCCG